CTCGGGGCTGCAGGGCAGGGGGCACCCAGGAGGGGACTGGTCTCACTCCAAAAGCCAGAACCACTACAAGGTACGGTGGTCACATCAGAGGACACATGCCCAGCGGTGGACACACACCAGCTGGGCAGGCCAAGTGGCTACTTGCAAGATGTGTGCAGACATCACCTGGACAGGCAGGTGATAGGAAAGGGGGTTGTCCAAGGGGCCCTCATCCTTTCAGCCCCAGGAACCAGCCTGTATGAGGCCCTGGGCAGACCGTGACAAATTTCCACAAACGTGGTAGCTAAAAACGACAGGAATTTGTTCTCTCCCAAGTTAGGAGGCCAGAAGTCTGAGGTCGAGGTGTTGGCAGGGCATGCTCCCTCCACAGGCTTAGGGGCAGATCCTTTCTGCTTCTTGTAGCAACTGGTGCCCCAGGTATCCCTTGGCTTGTGGCTGCATCACCCCAATATCTACCTCTGTTGTCATGTGGCCATCTCTCCATGTATGTGTCTTAAATCCTCCTTTCCCTTCTCTTATAACACTTGTCATCACTTGCCATTGGATTCAGGGCCCACCCAATCCAGGATCATCTCATCTCAAGGTCTTAATCAATCACGGCTGCAAAGACATTTCCAGACAAGATCCCATTCTGAAGTTACGGGCGGATGTGACTTTGGGAGGATACAACTCTACCCACTGCAAGGCCTGTGGGGTAAAACTGCTATACCTCATGAAGGACTCCAGGCCAGCAGATGTCACCAAGATGCCCGTAGGTCCTAACCCCCAAGAACCGTGAGATGGCACATACAAGGACTGTCATTTTAAGCTACTGAGGTTTGTAGAACTTGTCACCAGGCCAGAGAACGGGAATCAACTTTTCCCTTTCCAGAGTTTTTGGGACCCCAAATTCACTAGATGCCCCCCAGCCCAAGTGGGGGTCCTTCCCTTCTGCTGTTTTCTGTCTGGGGTCAAAAGGGGGAGAAGAGCCCCCTGAGAAGGGCAGAGATTCCAGCCCCCTCAAACCTGGGGGTGAATTCCAAGAGAAGAGCCTGGTGCAGGTAGAGTCTAGGGCTGCACCCCTCACATTCTGCGTGTCCCCCACCAAGACCCATGAGGGCCCAGCCCCTCCCCCCATCCACCAACTTACTGGGTGTTGTGGCTCCACACCTTGGTCAGCCTTGCCCTGGTGGCCTCCTCCCGCTGCCTGCCTGGCCTCCCCAGCCACACTGCAGGGACCACCAGGGAAAGCCCCTGAGTCATCGGGGCTCCTCCTGCCCTTCAAATTCCAGCCCGGACTTCTCTGCTGGCCCTGCTGTTTTGCACCTGTCCTTATCACATCCCCAAGTGGGGCCTCTCTCCCACCCCTACTGGCCTCATCCAGAAGCCAGAGCAGAGAAGCTGTATAGGAACCAGGGACCCCCTATTAGGCTGGTGAAGCCCATGGGCCCCTTCTCAGAACAAGGTTTCATCATTGCCTAAAATACTTAGTGCAGCGTTACAAACAAAACAGACCCAGTTATCAAAAGCTTTAAGACCTTTGTGCCACGTGACTCTGGGGGTGACAGGTTTCTATTACCTTGATAGGGGCGACAGCTCCCTAAAAGTGCAGTTAGAACTTTCCACATCTCCAGTGTGTGCTTCAGAAGTCCCCTTCCTCCATAAAGCCAGAAGACATGGAAATGAAGTGTTGCGCAGTAGGGGACACAAAATGAAGCAGTGTCTTCTATGTTCCCCTGAGTTATCAGCACCCAAGATGACAAGGTTGGCTGCGGGCTGACAAGCTCTGCGATTTCACGTGAAAATGTCTTGATGTTGCTGTTGCCGATAACATCATCGGTCAAGTGCATACTGCTATTTGGGAATGTCACCTACACTCGAAGTGGGAGGAATGCTAAATGTCAGTTAAAGGGTCCTAAAAACAAAGGTGTTCTTTTAGCACGCCAGTGGGAGGCCCACTGAATGGGGGCCCCTTGTATTCGGCTTACCTGCCGTCTGCCCGGACATGGAATGAGACAGAGAACCAGGCAGGAAACACCCTTGCTCAGTGGAGTTGGCCTTCCAGCGAGGACCACAGTGTCCAGGTGAGTCAAGAGCCTGCAGGAACCGCCCATTCCAGACAATGTTCTGGGCAGAGGGAGAAAGGCCCTGGGACAGGAATGGTCCTGGCCTGTCCCAGGAATGCGAAGGAGCCCTGGGAGCTAGGCCAGGGTGAGGGGGCCATTGAGGAGTTGCAGTGAAGGGAGGGACCTGAATGAGATGGAGAAACTGAGGCAAGAGCAGGTAGGCTCAAAGGGTCCTGAGGTGAGAGAGGCCCCAGAACTAACCCTCTCACATGCGTGGAACTGGGCCATGGTCCTCACACTGCCGCCTGACCGCTGTGTGGCTGCGGACAAGCCCACCCCTGTGCCAACCACAGGCTTCCCACATGACCTAACTGGCCCCAGACTTCAGACCAGGCCCAGGACAAGGGGAGGGATGCTGGGGGTAGGATGGGGAAACGGGCACGGGCATGGAGGCTGTGCCAGCCCCCCTCCTGGGATCCACACCATCAGAACAGCTGTAATGATTCCTGCAGCCTGCCCCAGGAAGTACATGCAGGAGGATGGGCTCTGAGAATGGGCCTGGAGGAGAAGGGACTGGGGCTAAGCAGAGGGAAGGGTGGGGCCCTCTCTGCACCCCACCCCTGTCTGGACACAAGCCTGTCTCAGGGAGACAGGGAGTCAACAGAGAACAGCCAAACGGAGCCAGGAGCACGTGGGTGAGTGCCGGTAGGCAGAGGACCCCCATCCCCCGCCACCATCCAGGGATGTCTTTAAGAGGATAAAGCTCTGCACCTAAGTCCTGGATGCTGTTAACCAAGCAGGGAGCCCCCCTATCACTGGAGGAGTCCAAGATAATGCTGCAGCCTTCAGGTGTACTGAACGCCCAATGCCCCAGAGCCAGGGGAGGAGTGAAGGCTCTGGCAACAGGCATGTTGGGGTCTGAGTTCCAGGGGCTCAATCCTAGCTGTGTGACCTTGGGGGGACCTGTAACCTCTCTGACCATAAGTAGCCTGGCATGAATGCTGCCCACCTCTCAGGTGCCACATACAGAAGTTGCATGAGGTACCTGCCAGGCTGGGGGATCCTGGAGGATGTAATCTCCTACTCCCCCTTCCTCCTGCCTCTGCCCCTTTGCTCTCACTGGTCCTTCTGTCCCTCCAGTCACCTTCCCCAGGGGGCCTTCTTGTTCAGCATCCTTGTGGCTGACCTTGTCTTTAGACTCAGGGACCCCCAGAGGGGAAGATCTCAACTGCAGACCCTAGCCAGGCCCCTGCCCATGGTCAGGCTGCAGGTGAGGGTTTGGGCTGGGGGCTTTGATCCTGATAATGGAAGTGGGCTGGGATAGCGGCAGGCTGTCTAGCCTGCTCACCTTGCCCCCTCTTGGCCAAAGCTGGGAAGGCACTCTGCTCCATCAGTTCCCAGTGCATCCATCTCTGGGACCTAGGAGCAGGAAGGTCCTAGCCCCTTTGTGTGGGCACCAGGGCCTCATTTTCCCTAGGTAACTTCTTGGCACTTCCTGGCTCCTTAACAGGTCTCCTGCCAGGGGAAGGGGTCCTTCCCCTGATGTGCCCATGCTGGACCCCAGATACTCGTCTGGTCTGAAAAAGCCCCCTTTTCCCAAGGGGGACCAAACCAGAACAGAATCAGGAGGAAGGTAAATTAGGTATCCTGGAGGTGGGTACATAGGAATCCATATTATTTTTTAAACTGTGTGTATATCTTTCACATGCTCCTTCAGAGGCTAAGGTACAGAGCACAGACTAGTTCTTCTGAAAGTGTAGAGTTCTGGGGGAGGCTGGGGCTCGAAACAGGGGACTGGCTGGGTCTGACTCACAGGGCCAAGAGCCCTCAGCTTCTCAGGAGAGGAGGTCATCATGTTTGGGACAGGGGGGCTACCTAAGAGGATTGGGAAGCCCCAGGGAGGGCTGGTAAAGCCCCATCCACCCAAGGCCAGCAAGGAGGCCCTGTCCAGGAGTAGATGGGTGAGGGGCACAGAAAGGGGACAGGAGGCTAACAGCACGCTGCACAACACCTCAAGGCTTTCCTCTGCCAGGCAGGCCCCTGGGCCAGGGCTCAGGTGATGGCCCTGCTTTGAGCCCTGCACAAAAAGCAGAACACTGGGCGAAGAGCCCCCCCCCCAGTAATGTCCCCCACCCCTAGTAATGTCACCAATGCCTCTTAATTGGGGGACCCTTCATAGCAGCAGACGGGTTGCAGGGGAGGGGGCTCGAAAAGTAGATAGGAGGGGGGAGGGTAACGGGACCCGGCGTTAGGGAGAGGCCACAGTGAGGTCCCAAGTAAGGGCCACAGTCAGGCCCCTGAACCTGGAGAACGTGGAGAGGGACGGCAACAGGCCTCCTCTCCCTTCAGATCAGCCCAGGGAGGCTTCCCAGAGGAGGGGGCTTTCCCTGTCAGCCACCTGGACCTTAGCTCAGCGGCCACCTCGGGACAGCGCTGTTCCCTGCCCAGCTGTGGTTCCCTGCTCCGCCCGTGCCACTAGACGCCTTCTTTATTTGATCTTGCGCCTGTTTCCCCGGGTCAACTTCTCCGGGGCGCACGGCGCCGCATGAGTCACTGCGGTCACGCGGGCCGAGGCCGGGGAGAGGAGCTGGCACCCTAGCGCTGCCGACCCAGGGCCGCAGAGCCCTTCCCGGCCTCAGTCTCCGAGACCGCGAAATGGACGTGTGAACTCAACCCTTGGCCGTCCACTGAGAGCTGCGCGCAGACGCAACCGGACTCTGCCGGGGAGGAAGGGGTAGTGGGGAGCAGGAAGGGGGCGGAGGTGCGCGCAAGCGCAACGGTGGGCGAGGCGTAGTCCCAGGGCCCCGCGCCTGCCGGCGGTCCATCCCCACCTCCCGTCCGGAGTCTGCGCGTGCGCGCCGCAATGGGGAGTGGGCGGGACCACGAGCGGGACCGCCTTGTTCCCCAGCGTCCCCCGCGGCAGCAGGCACTGACGTGGCCGCCGTCAGAGCCGCCATCTTGTGGGAGCGAAACCAACGCCTGCCTCCGAGCAGCAGCAGCGCCGCGGCCGCCGAGGGTGAGGCTGGGCCGGGGCCGAGGCGGAGGCGGGGGCGGGGGCCGAGGTGAGGCCCTGCGTGAGGTTCTGCTGGGGCGGAGAGGGCAGAGACGGGGGCCAAGGTGAGGCTGGGCCTGGCGAGAGCCGAGATGAGGCCGGGCCGGGGGGTCGAGGCGGGGGACCGCGGGTCGAGGCGGGAGGCCGAGGTGAGGCGGAGTCGAGGCTGGTAACCTAGGCCGGGCGGGGACTAGGGTCGAATAGAGGCCCGGGGTTGAGGTGAGACTGGACCCGGTCGGGGATTGAGGCCGGGCTGGGGACCGAGGCGAGGCGGGGTGGTGCGGAGGGCTGGGCCAGGGTTCGAGGCTGGGACGGGGGTTGAGTCGGGGCCGAGCCGGGTCAGGGGCCGAGTCGAGGCAGGGCGGGGGTCAGTCGCGCCGCCCGCACCCCCAGAACCGCTGGGACAGGCGCCCGGAAGTCCGGGCCGCATCGCGGGCTCTCCAGGAAGCCCAGCTTCCTGCTCCGCCTGCGAGGCCTCCTGCCTCGGGGTCGCGAGGACCAGGAAACTGAGGCCCGCGGCCCGGGACGCGGCCAAGGTCACACGATGCCCAGGGTTTGAGCCCAATTCCTGTTTGCTCCGAGAACAGAGCTTCCGAGGCGGGGCGGGGCCCGGGTTCCTGGGCGGGTGCTGTGGTCCTGGGGTCTGAGTGGGAGCGCCTGTGGTCCCAGGAAGCTCCCGCTACCCGCGCGACGCGCCGTCGGCTTTGTAGGGCCCCTTTATCCAAGCTTGCTGCAACCCCGGGATTGTTTCCTGGATGCCTTTGGCGTGGATAAGAACACTCTTCCGAGCTGGTAAATCGTTAACCTAGCTGTGAAACGACCTATCTGGGGCTAAGGCAGCCTCCCAAGCAGAGTGCCCTAAAGCTTGTCTTGTTGCCCGATCCAAGTGGTTATGGGAGGTAAAATGGTAGCTTTGTAGTAAGACTTGGCAATGAATTACAAAATACTTAAAATATTTGTTAATTAACTGAGCATTTTTGAGCTCCTCAGAACACCAAGTTGGTATTTTAAATGAATGGAGCAAAATTGCACAAGAAGTCATTGACAGGAGACAGGGAATTCGGACGCTTTGAGAGTAGTCCCGGAAGTCATTGTTGGCTGTGTAGTTGATGCCACTACTGGTGGTGGAGTGGTCAGCTCTAGTTCTTGTTTCAGAACTAGTGGTCAGCATTTTTTTCTGCCAGCTGTTTGCATGGTTGATCCTGTGTTTCTGGCAGCCTGCGTGTGTCTGAAGGAGTTTGAAATGCCACGGTGCATGCTGTGTGTTGTCGTTAGAGTTTTCATCAACCATCAGGAGTGGCCCAAACTAAGAACTTTGAATACATGGTGTTGCTAGTTGGGTCCAAAATTAAGAGGAATTGAGTGTGTATGCGTTCATCACAAATCTAGCCACTTTGTTAGAGTGTGCTGTCTCCTTCCCATAAAGGTTTTCTCTGCTTAATGGGTAGTGTCCCTGTTCAACAGGAATGTCCTGCTGAAAATAAATCCGTATCACTTGGACGTTAGAAATCTGCTATTTCTTGTGAGGGCAGTATTCAAAATTGCTACTTCAAAAAGATTTAAAATAGTTGGTTTGGGTAGTAGCTGACTCACATGCTATCCGCTCATCATTGTAAGAAAGTTAGTAGAAAGCAAAAGCTGGTTCTGCGCTCCTCACAGTTCTGGTTTTTAAATCATGTGGTCTAGCTATTTGCTTTGCCTCTTGCGCAATGTGAAGAGGACACTCAGACCTGTTCAGCCACCTCTGTCAAAGACCAGACAGGCTTGAAACTACAGGAAGGTATGTCTATTTTTCTGTTTACTTTAGTAAAGTTTGGTGTGGACCATCAGCCATTGAGGTGATCCTTAGAGTCAAATGGCCATAGGAATAAACCTAACGAAGGGGGAAAACTCTTGTGCAAGTTCGTAAATGTATTATTTTTGAGAGAGTTGAATCCATATTCTTCGTATTCTTCAAATTGAATATCGCCTTCATATATCAATTTAAATCTGTTCTTGATCACAGGTCAGACAGACCAAGCATTTCTGCAGCCTTCCTGGGGGTTGTGGTCACTTACTGACCTAATGTTCAGACCCTGGATGGCCTGGGCTTGCTGTACCATTTAGGACCATCTCTGTGCATATTGTCCCATAGATGTTCTCCCCTTTAACCTTCCAACCTTTATAGAATTAGGAGAATGAAGGAAATAAAATGCACATCTGTCAGAGTTGGTTGGGAAGGAAACATGAAAAATTCCGTTTAGTTGGGATCTTAAAATTAGACAAGAACTTGCCTCTTGTCATCTGTTTTCTCCTCATTGGTGTGGATGGTGTTCGAGATATCTTCCCGGCACCATGTGAAGTGGTGTTTGGAAATGTTTCTGGCCTAATAGTGGGTTATATGTAACCCTTCTAAGTAAAGGCAAGTAAAGGACAGCTTGGTGGGGGGAGTGTGTGTTGAGGGGGATGATTTCAGAGTGTAAGTGCGAGATGGGTGGTGCTTTATCCTTAGGTTCTTATCCTCTCGTGATTGTTATAAATTCTTTAAAATAGAGTTGTGCCACATCTGTTACAGCTATCCAATGGTATCACTATTCTGGAAGGTAGTTCAGCATTCTTAGATGGATCAGATTTTAAATGTGGCAAAATTTAACACAAAAACATCAAAGCTCCTTACTCCGAGGAGAGTCTTTTAGGCCCTTACTCAGTCCTACCACCCCGGCTTCCTTACATGAGTGGGGAGGAATGATGAAGCTACCTTTTGAAGGGACTAACTTCCATATTCCTAACAAAGCCGTGTTTCCTGGTTTTTGAATACATTGGAAGCAAGAGCTTAGCAGTCTGTCATCAACAAATAGAAAAGGAAGAGTGGGGCTTCTTACTGACTCAAGAGAAGAGAAAGGAAAAACCATACAAGGCAGGCAGATTTTATACACATAGCAATGGGGGTGACTCTGTTCAGGAGGCAAACATTTATACACCTGAGACCACAGGGGTGATTATTTGTATGCAGCATAAATTAATGGAAACCCCAGTTATGATCTATGAATTGTCAGACGTTAGAAATGTATATTTTAGAAACATAAATTAATGTTTAATCAGAATTTAGTAAGTTTTGCTCCTCAAAGGAATACTAGCAAGCTAGAAGAGTTTGTTTCCCAAAGGGCAAGTCATATGGAAAATAGCTAACATCTTTCTATTTGTATTGTACATCAAATTATTTCTGCAGTGCCAGTGTGGGAGCTAAACAGAAAGCTTACTGGTTCTAGGTTTCTGAGATCCTGAAAACTTTTAGCGTGAAGTTTTTGAGTATCCTGTCAGTTTTGACTTAGAAGCAAATGGACAAGAAAACAATTTCAAGATTCTGTCTAGACTCATTTATGAAGAGTAGGAGTGAAGGCAAAGCTAGATGTGTCAGCATTTTGATTACAGGATTCAGATTAAAAGGTGTCTTTAAAAACTGTTGTTTTAACAGTGCATTTTCCTGTGACGTTTCCTGTCATCTATAGATGAGCATGCAGTTCCTAATTAACTGATTGAATCCATTAATTTGTATTTAAAATACTATATATCATTTGTCATTTTGGGTGATGTAACTTTGCTTAAAATAATTACAGCTTTTAGCATTTCTCTTCTATCAAAGTGATATGAGATATTGCAAATTCCTGGGGAGATCACTGAAAATGTATTCTTAGTAGTTTCAGGGACCTGAGGGCAGGTTTAGGAAGCAGGTTGTGTACACACCCCTCCTGGTGTATTGGACATGGCTGAGATGCACATGTTTGTCCTGAGTACTTAACTGTATCTCTGCAGCCCTGATTTCCTCCTCACTAGGATGTCAAAGGAATGTTCAGATTTCACCACATTCGTGTTTACTTTTAAACCAGTATGAAATTCGTTGTTGATTTATAGGTTTTTTTTTCTGACAGACTTATTTTTAGGGAAAGCATATTTGTAGATGTGTATGATTAATCTTTTTACTTTTTGATCCCTAAGGGCCTTGATAAATGTTCTTTTATGATTCTTTTCTCCTCTCCCTGATGGTGAATTCCTTGGGTCCCCAGAAGGGTGGCCAGCAGAGGAAGATAGGGAGATGGATGGAGGAAGGTGGATGAGTTCTGGGTAGAGGAGATGCTACTGGCAGAGTATAAGGCTGGGTGGAGATGCAGGGCCATGGCAGTAAGTGGGATGGAAAGGCAGGCCAGCAAGATACAGGAACACGAATGGGCACTGAGTGTGGCTAGTGAGACCTATCAGGAGGATGGGGGAGAGGGTGCCATCTGGGCAGAGGTGTAAACGATTGGGGGCCTTGTGAGTCTTTGGGGGAAATAAGAAGCTTCTCCCGGGTTGGGGAACAGTAAAGGCAGAAGCCCTGAGGTGGGAGTGCATATCATGGTTTTGGAGACCTGCCAGGAGCAGAGGAGGGGAAAGAAGTGTGCCGGTGTGTGCCAGTGGTCTTTGGAGGGGTAGCCCCAGAGAAAAGGTATTTTGGGAATTTGTGGGAGGATTTGAGGCTCTGTCAAAGAGGGGAGGCAATGCTGGTATTTAGTACATTTAGCAGCAAAAATACATTCTGTCTGCATGACTTTCATGTAGGTGAAAAATCTGTTTATATCTTGAACCTAATTATGTTTATGTACAGAGTCACCTTTTTTTTTCATGGTTTTAATAGATATTCTGAATCTTCCAGGAGTGAATCTATTGTGTAAATCAAGGGTGATTTTTTTGTTTTTTTTTTGCAGAATCTTACCAAGAGTTGTTCTCTGTTTCCAGGAAAAAGAACAAACAAACCAAAAAAACTGCCTCATGGACATAACAGGCCCTGAGTGTCGTGAGATGCCGGTACATGCTCTAGTAGTGTGCGTTTGTGGCAGTCTTCATTAGGTGGTAGTCGGACTGCCTCCCTTGAATTTACAGTGTGATCGTGACTAGTACTGAAGCCCACATTTTGTTATATGTCACCGTCTTTCATTTCCCTATTACAT